ATTCAGACAACGCCAGCAGCCACGAAGAAATGCCGGACTACATTTACAAGATGTTGGTATTGATTGGCGGGATCTACTACTTTTATCTGATGGAAACAATCTTCTCTCTGGTGGCATATAAAGATAATCATCATCATCATCAACATCATCATGGGGTAAGAGAATAAAATAATAAAACACAGAATAAGCATGATGGGAATATAAATATGGACCCGCCATTCTTGATTTTCATTAGATTCAAATGTTGTGACTTTTCCAAAATGTCTTATAAAAAGATGGAACCTACTGGGAGCTTATCTTTTGTTTGAACTTCTAGATTTCTGGAGAAAAATTGGCCCAAATGAGCCATGGAAAAATTGACTTGTAATATAAAAATAAAACCCAGATGTCTTGCATTTATTCCTTAAATATGTTTGGCTTCGTTTTCTCAAGTTGAGTTTCACATCTTGTTCCTGCCTCACAAAATATCCTGTTCCTCACTTTCTCAAGTCCTTTTTTCCTTTCCCTCTAAACTTCCTTCAAGCTAACTCAAACCGTTATTTTGTCTCTCTCTCTTTTAGGAAGAATCAGAGCCTCATCACTGTGACCATGGCATTGTTTTAGAAATGTATCAACAAGATAGGAAACAAAAGGACAAGTCAGAGTCAGCATCAAAACTAGACCTGGTAAGAAACATACATTAACGCTTGGAGTTTAAACGTGGAGCATAAATATTCAAAAGCAAGGGAAAATGCTATTTCTTAAAATGCTGAGAGCTGTGTGAGGAAACCCTGAGCTAATACTATATAACTAATACATCACTAACAGGACTTGTTAGTGTTTAATGTAACATGTGCATTTCAGGTTAGCTTTGAAGAACATGAGAAATCTCATTCCCATCAGAAAGAGCGCACCAGAGGTGAGTTATCTCCAACACAAAAACATGGCATCATCAAGTTGTGATGATAGTGCTGATCATGGAGTCTGCCACTAACCATTACACCGTCTGCCTCCACAGAGCAGCGTCTGCTTCCCTACATGATAACTATTGGTGACGGGATCCACAACTTCGCAGACGGCTTAGCGATGGGTGCAGCTTTCTCCCTGTCATGGAAGTCTGGTCTGGCCACGTCAATCGCTGTTCTCTGCCATGAACTACCTCATGAACTGGGTAAAGAACACACAGAGACTACATCAGCCTGTTGCTCTTGTTGTGTTCCATACACATATTGAAACAGCCGTCTGTCTCGCCTTAAGCGATTGTGTTTTTCAGTCAGTTTTTAAGGTCTGTTGTTGCGCCATATGGACATTTTAGAATACCAATTTTGGCAATGCAGATACCAATGCAGATGTTTTTCTGTTTATTTTCTATTAATTAATCCTATTTGTGTGTCAGGGAAACAACTGTCTTCATCACAAACATTGAATGAGCACAAATTCCCAAAAATAACTTTTGTCTGCTGTACAAACTCAATAAGAACATTTTAAGTACCAACAGTCAGAAGTTAGACTTTCACGTTGTCCATCATATACTATTTATGTTTGTTTTGTCATTGCCGTCACATTTGTGTAATTTGTATTCCTTCGTGATCTTCTTCTATGAAAGATTCAATACTAAAATAAACTTTACTAACTTTCTCTACAGGTGATTTTGCCATTCTGCTCCACAGTGGTGTGTCTGTGCGCAAGGCTCTGCTCTTAAACGTCGGCAGCGCCATGACCTCGTTCGTGGGTCTGTACATCGCTCTGTCTGTAGCCACCGACCTCGCCACCAAGCAGTGGATCGCTGCCATCACTGCAGGGCTCTTCCTGTATGTGGGGCTGGCTGACATGGTGAGTACTTGTCTTTAAGGACAACATTTACTGTAGCTGGAGTCAAAATAGAAACTGAAATCTCTCCTCCTTCTCCTTCTAGCTGCCCACCATGGTCCACATCAGCAACAAGAGACCCTGGCTGATGTTCCTGCTGCAGAACGTCGGCCTGCTGAGCGGGTGGGGTATTCTGTTGCTGCTGTCACTTTATGAGGAGAGAATCAGCTTCTAAAACCAGTCAAGAATCCCATGGTCTCACACGGCACATGTCATTAATAATAATAATTTATGCAGATTGGAAAAACAACTTTCACAGTAACATGATGGTGTTTATGGCCCTTATTCATACAAAGGCTTAAAGCTGGCCCTTGTTTCCACCCAAAAAAGGATCATAATAATACATGTTATTTATATAGCGCTTTTCCTGGTGCTCAAAGCGCTTAATAAAGGACCTTGCAGATGGGAAACTAATCATTCAATGTGTTTTAAATTTGCTATTGCCTTAAAGACTTAAAGATACAATATGTAGCAATTGACGGTCTGCCCGAAGTTTTCATAAATTGACACGTATTTTTACAATACACTTTTGGGATTTTGGTGGTTTTAACTACACTTTTTCATCAGATAAGATGAGGTAAGATAAGACTCTATTTATAACGATGGACATGTTTGATGATGGGTTATCTGGATTTTACATTAGCCTTAAGCTTGTAGCGTCTCCTCCATGTGTTCACTGATTTTGGAAGTGAAAATGATTTATTTCCTGTTTTTACCAGTTTCACTCCTTTACCAGAGGTTAGCCAACATTTCTGCCATATGTTCCCCATTTTGGCTCCTCCCTTAGACTATGTATGTGCATTCACCCAAAGGCTGCTCTAACCTGAATGTTTAACACTTATCGAACTACACACAGAAACCAGAGCGCTTCCAATACCAAATATCTTGTCAAGCTTCCTGCAGACTTGTACTGTTTTTTGAGATTTTAATAAAGTAAAATGTACAAATGTGTTAATATATATTATTATATACAGTATGGTATATTTCTTTTTTTTAAGCTTAGTTTGGAAAATTAAAACTCTTTCAAAACCCAATTATGTAATTTCTGTGAGACCTGTCAATCAACATGAATTAACTCTATCAGGGGTTTAAGCTTTTGTTCCATCTGTTGAATTTTATCTACTTTTTCAATCTTTCTGTTTGGACTTTCTCTTTATCTGTGTCATTTAATCTCCTCAACCTGCAGGTAAATGAGTGTCTCCTTTAGTGACAGAGTCCGCTGACAACTCAGCTCACACAGACATATTATTAACATGCATACTGTAAATGTAACCATGTATGACAAGCGTCTCACTTCCTAAGACAAAATGACCCATTTAATGACAACATTTAGGTTGTGTACTGATCCTTTAAGGATGTGCTGTAAAAACCAAATTGCATATTACAGCACGAAGCTGCTGACAGAGGAAACATGGATTTCCCTTATGTCAGCAACAAAAAGCAACAATAATTTTCAACTTACGTCTTTAGAGGTTTTACGAGCCCCTGGAGTCCTTTAACTTACCCTCCCAACAAAACACTTGATAATCACCTCTACAACTAGCCCTTTGAGCTTCTCGTACTTTATACTGCATAAAACATCTTTAACAGTGGCATTGGTAGACACAAGCAGACTTTACAGACCGAAAAAGTCTAATTTGAGACAGACTTTTACCATTGGATTATGCTGCCTCTCTGGATTTATGTAGTTTATAAACTCCTTAAATAAATTTTGGATGCAGTGACATAAAAAGCTGCATCAAAAGTGAGTATCAGTAAATAACTGCTGTTAAGGGGAGATGATGCTCAAAAGGCATACCTGCAGGCATACATTCACCACTCCGGTATACAAGAGATACAGAGAGCTTTCCCTGGCGGCGCTAAATCCCTTTGTGTGAACTCATTTGGAAAGGGTGTAGTGGATGTTCATTAATATGTAAAAGTCCCGCACGCCAACTCTAATTACATCAGACAGACTATGGCAACAGGTCAAATACCCTTTCATGTTTCAGTAGGAAAACCTTGCAAACAATAAAAGTGAGTAATGGCCTGGTTTCATGAGCTTCCACGTCAAGGTATTAAGCAGGGTGACTCACTGTCACATTGTTGCACTGCATTTCCTATTATTCCTATGCTGTAAAAAATGCCTTTTGTGATGAGATCACATGAAAGATATGCAGATCTTCTTTACCACATCCATTTCCTTTTTTAGGTCTTATCTGCAGCTGCCAAGGAGACGCTCTGGTTCAATGACAAACATTACAGAAGAGAGGCGATCGATTGCGCTTCAATCATTGTTACCGACCATTACCTAACACTTCCCAGAAAACGCAGGCTTTATGGCCGTTTTCTGTTTCCTGTTTCCTGTTTCCACCACAGAGCTTCAGTATGTCATTATTTATATCGTCACATGGATGTTTATACAAAATATCAGTTCGATGGAATGGGAGGTGGGAAAATGAACACAGCAGTTAGTCTAAGTAAGGGTTGTTTACACCTTTTAAAGCTCTAATTCTAAGAGTTTAGAGGTTAAAGCCAAATACTCCTGAGTGTATACATATATATATGCTCATTAGGCAGATTTCTTCATATTTTATGACATGGTGTCAGTCAAAGCAGATATGTATAAGCCAGAGTCCACCGTTAAAACACAGCGAGGAAAGAAACTCAAGTCACTGCTTGTTCTCTTCCCTGATATTAGGGGGGGAGTTATTGCTGTAAGGCCATGTTGAACGGATGAGTTTTAAGGGTTGATTTGAAGATGTTGAGAGAAGGGGCGTTCCAGATTTCTGCAGGGAGGGAGACTAAAGACTGGAAGCAAAGGGAGTGTTGAGTGGAGATGTGTAAATATTTAACAAAGTTGAGAGAAATCGGGGAAAACATCACATGTACAAAAACAATAAAACTTCATGTTTGCTTAAATAATAAATGATTAAAGTGTTTGGAGTTTACAGTGACATGCTACAGCAGTAAAATAAATTCCACTTTGTTGTTACTCCCATTTTGATTGCCTCATATCAGTCCATTTCTGGGTCAAGACTTTTTATTTCAGTGTTTCATTCCATGTCCTAACCACAGCCACTAAAAACAAATGAGAGCTTTTCATCTGTGCGACACAAATTCAAAGAGATATTCCTGAGGCATTACAAATAAATGTGAGGACCAGACCGAGCTAGAAAGATACAAATATTTTATTACAGAACACTTCATTTTCTTTTTCATTTATACTTCACATACGTATAAAAACTAAACATTTTAGAAAACACAGCAGATAAATTAATTCAACATGATGGTATAAACGTGATATTATATATAAAACAGGTGTTTCTGGCCAAATCTATTGAAACCCGACCTCGTAAGTGAGTGAGTAAGTGATTGATGCACACCTGTGTATGTGCACACCTGTGTCTGTGTGTGCACATTTGGTCTCTCACTTGAAGTGAATGATCTCCTGAGTGGCCAGTCTGATAAGCTGGTTGAAGTCAAACTGGATGTACTTCCTCCAGTAGCGCCGGTCCCTGCCGTAGATCTGAGCAGGAAAACAAGGGCTGCCTGAAACATACAATTAGTTTTCATTTTTGGTATATTCAATTCCTTACAATAAAAAAAAAAGGTATAATATTTGACATATCCGCATTGAAATGTATAAAAACGTCTAGTACAATAGAATATATTTAGTTGAGGTCTGTCAGTTTGTAAGGTATGTCTATGGTAGCAGTTTGTTTTAATCTGTGTCATGTAATGGCAACACATTGGCATTGTGGTTGCCAGGAGCAGTTTGTCTAGATATGCCACATCTTTTGCAAACCTTTTTTGATTTTGGCCATTTTTTATTATATCATTTAACTGGGTAAAGGATTTTAGTCATTGGACACCTGAATCTGAAATCATCAGTAAAAAGAAATTGGGCAAATGTTATTGGCAGCTGAACAGCATCAGAGTTCAATAACATGACTTTTTTATCGGTTTAAATAGCCTGGTTCATTTGTTTTGGAGTGGAGGACTCTGTGTGTCATTTAGCTCCAAGTAAAAACCTCCAGATGTATCAACACTGAACGAATCAAAACCTGGAGGAGGTTAACTACAAGGAAAGATTCCTGTGATCCCACGCTACGGAGATGAAGGTTTGTGAAGATGTGACAACCTGCTAAAGATAAAAGTACTTTGAGAAGACAGAGTGGAGATAGTTTGTAACACAGTAGGTGTTTTGTTTGTGTTTAAGATGAAATTAGAGAGAGATAAATAAATATAAAAGAGAAGGCGGTGGTGTGTTCCTCTCTAATAATAGTCAACTTTCTAATGTTTTTGTATGAATCAGATAATATCATTTATATTATTGAGGATTTGCTCTTTTGTATCCTTGCTTCTGAGTCCAGCCTTACTGAGGTTTAACAACGTGGATCTCACGAAAGGTATTCTGATTCTCAAAGTTTATTCATTGAGCCTTTAGCACCCTCTAGTGGCTAAAAAACGCTTTGTCATTTTGACTGTATAACCTGCTCTTTGAAGTGGAGGTTCCGAGTGGACATGTTTTTATTAGAATAACACTACATGTTATATATGCTGTGTGAAAATATCTGAATTGCGTTCTCTTCATTAACTTCTTAGGTCAGGTTACATCTGTGGTCACCCATACCTATATAATAGAGATACATATTTTGTTCGAGCATCATCAGATGTATGTGTATGTCTCACCTATGCCGTGGAGGATTCTAGCAACAGCTCTTCCAGAAAACTTCTCATCACTCCGGTTGGAGAGAAAACTTCTGATGTCCGCTCTGATCTGATTCTCCCAGTCTGAAAACTACAAACACATAAAAATAAAAAGTAATCCTCAACATTCAGAACATTTAAAGACACTAATTCAGCCGATAACTCCTGATAACCCTCCTGTGTATTTACCTTATATTTGTCGAGCTCCTCGATGTACACCGGTGCGAGCATCTGGCTTAGGTCCCGCCTCTTGTCGAAGTAATCGGACAGAAGGTCTTTCAGCCTCAGACTGCGACTCTCATCCAAGTCGTCGACACAGGACGATGCACTCGGAAATGCAACACTGCAAGACAGCGCACACACACCATTAGACACACACACACAAGGTAAAGTAGAGAAGTGAACAGAGAGAGAGAACACACACACATAGTTGTACATGTGAGAAAAATAATTGCCATTTTATACAGTCCCATCTTATTATTTGGACATTTTGCAGGACTCTCTAAAGCAGGGCTTCTCAAACTCCGGACTACAAAATAAAAAAATAAAAACGTTCTGATTCTGATGTAAATGAATGTATATTTTCTTGTATCTGACGTGTTGTGAGAATGAACGTGCATATATATATTTACTTGTGCGCGCGAGCGTGACACGCATTGCAGACCACAAGTTAGCCGCAACCTTACCTTGACTTTCTAATGCTTCTAATGCCTTTTTTGACGAGGTTCAAGGCATTGGCTACAGACAAACAGTGCCATTTCTCCCACTAGTTCAAGCCACCATACGGTATGTATTGAATGTGTGTGTGTATACAGGGGCGCCGTTTGCCAACAGGCAGGTAGATTAAGAAGGCCCACAGCAACGACAACATGAAACACCCTTTAATTTACTGCATCGACATGTCGGGAAACCCCCTCAAGGGTGCCCCATGCATAGCGCGCAGTTTCGTTGGTCCGATCCGCTCCGGGGGGGGGGGACACTTTACTGGCATTTATCCGGACCAGTGACCTTGTATAAAATTCACAAGTGGACCTTTCATAAAAAGGTTTGAGTACCCCTGCTCTAAAGCATTTGCCAGCTTTTAAAAGGTTTAGGTGTCAAAGTGACATTGTAAGGTACATGACATTGAATTAATAGGTGGTTACTCACAGACTTCATACCAACCTTTATAAACCTATATAAAAAGTAGGAGTCATAGGGAACAACACAGTCAAACAATATCTAGCATTATTTCATCATGAATTACATTTAGAATGATCCACAGATGGATAGGGTTTTATAAAATCACGATAACAAATGAGCATCTTTGATCACAAATTCAGATGAATTTATTTCTGATGTTTGTCGATGCAATCTGGGAACAAAGCAGGCCAATATTACAGTGAGGACGGAGAATAACGATTGATCTTTCAGCTTTCTAAAAACTATTTTAAGGCTGTGAAAGACACCTTTGTGAGTTTCTATAATACATTCATCTTGAGGGTAAAACGCAGCTTTGGTGTATGTGTTTACCTTTTGAAGGCCTTGAAGGAGGAGGTGAGCTGGTAGATCTGCGTTTTCTCCTGGTTCTGGACTCGATTATAGAGGAACTGACACACTCTGTCCATCTCCTCGTCGCTGAGGTCGCCAAAGGATCGGAAGTAGAACGATATGGAAGACAATTCAACGCTGACACCGCTACGGCCTCCAACTGAAACACAAATGTTTTCTTTAATATTTATTTCATATTTGTACACAAATACACGTTTTCTGCACACGGTAGACAAGGTTAAAAGCAGATGGTATTAGATTGAGAGCGGTTCAACTACTCGTGTTTGATTTACTAATCTTCACCAGTTGCATTCAGTGCATTCTTATTTGATTTTATTCAGCAGTGACGTATTCTTCTTGCTATAGGTTTTGCTTTTATGTCATGGTGGATACTTGCTTAGAACTGTGCAAACCAGTATCTACCCCGAGGAGAAAACATACCAGACAAGAGAACAGACCCAGAAAGTGTGTATTAGTGCCATCACATACCAGAGGACCACTGCAGCTGTCGGAGTCCTCTCTTCACAAGAGATAGCTGCCATCCCATAGTGTCTGCAACCTCAACGACATCGAACTCCAGCTGATCACACGTCTCCACTCGCTCGCCCGCCATCCGCCTTCTGGCCAACACCACAGCAATGGGAGGGCAACTGTGACACATTAAAAAGGAAGTAAATAATGTAAAACGGGACAAATATGATCAACTCAGTACAGTAAATCTCTGAAAATAGCTGACAGTTAAATGTCTTTATATAAACATTAGAATATACTAAGGAATGACAAGTCATACATTTTGGTGAGTTTCTGGAGTTGTTTGGGTCCACTATAGCAGCCGATTTTACACACAGACAGAGTGGGGTGGAGCAGCTCCACAAAGCGCTGGGGGTGCAGCTCCAGATAGCAGAGCAGCGTTTCTAAACCTGGAACACACAAAGGAGAAAGACAAAGAATCTTTTTCTTATCGTTTCTCTTATTACTTTTTTCCCTTTCTCTGCATTTGGAGCCTCTTGCCTACTTACAACTACATATTTGTTCTGAATGTTTTGTATAAATCTATCCGTCTCTCTACAGGGTATATGCAGGAATCCTGAAGTCGAATGTAAGACCTCTTAAGACCCTTTCCATACATTTTAAGACCTCATCGCCACTTGGAGCTGATGAAGTGTCATTTCTTTGACCAAGCTTCAAAAAGGGAAGGTACATTACGATTTGTCTACAGTGGTCTTGTGTCCGCGAACTTGTCATCACACACACACACACACACAGCAGACACACACACACACACACACACACACACACACACACACACACTACACACACACACACACACACACACACACACACCACAAGACACACACACACACACACACACCTGTTACACACACACACACACAACACACTGGACACACACACACACACACACACACACCACACACACACACACACCAATTTCATATGTCATTCTGATTCACTTTGCCCCCTCCACGACACACAATTTTCCTGGTACCGTCCTATTCCTCTACTACCTTACTACCTATACACCGCTAGTTCGCCTTGGACCTCCGAAGGGTGAGGTCGTCCTACACCTTTGTATGTCTGTGTGGTCTTGTACCATATTTCTGCGAACAATAGTGCATAAGCATGAGAAGAAAAGTGAGGAAATGGGTTGTTTACACGGTCAGTCCTTCAACTTCTGTGAAAAAAAGGTCGCTCCCTGTTAAACGATTTCAGATAAAGCATTCCTTTGTTATAAAACCCTGTTGTTCTTCCTTACGAGACACAAAAGATAATGTTCCGCCTCAGCAGTGGAGATCTCCCCGCACGTCTCGAGGGAAGAGGTTCTGACAATATCTACTCCCTTTCCTCCCCTCGACCCCGTCTTCAACTTTGTACTCTTCGTCCTCCCCAAGCTATTTCGGGTTCCTACCCTCAGCGTTCTTCGACTAACCGATTCCTGGCCTCTCCCCCGTCACTAACCGAGTTTCCTCGCAGACAGTGTGCGCTAACTCTCTCGCTAAGGGTACCCGGGTTTGACACCTCCGACGACCGTAGCAGTGTCCGTCCGCACTCCACCTTTGTCCCTGTGTCCCTTTCATGTGCTCAATTCTAAGGTGTTAGTTGATACAAATCCTTCTACCTATATAAGTTCGTTTTGTCAAGTCTCTTTGCAACAACATGTCCCCAGGCGGCCGCTCCAGAATTTTGTCAGAAGTTTCAACTATTTTAGGTAAATCGCTTTTACTTTCAGGGGATAATTTCATAATTTGCCGTAAAAGTTACCAATATGTAAAACATCGAAAAAAGTTATCATATATCTAACAGGTTTCTCCAACATAAGATGTCATCTATCGGTGTTTTTGTACTTCTATCATTAGTTAACTTCTTATTTCCATCTTTTGATCATCACACTTATGTTTATATATCTTATTATTCTTATTTTATTTTGTTTTTATATAATACCCTGTATGGTCATACCTTTTTTACACTGTTGCTAGTGTTTGTATCTTGTTCTGTAGCGTTTGTTCGTATTTTTTTTTTTTTTTTGATCGTTTATTGGTCTTCTTATGTCGTTTTGTTGTTTTTTTCTGTTTCGCTTTTCCTATTGTCAATATGGCTGTCCTCATTTAACTTGATGTTATCTTTTTTGTGTTTTAGCATATATCCTTCTCTTTACGTTCAAACGTATTGGTTTATTTACTCTACCTTGTCTATTCCTTTCTCTTTCCTTTGTTTAGTTTTTTATATTTTTTTATCTTATAGTCAGTTACAGCTCCACTTCCACACGAGCGGTACATT